CTTAAACAGGCTCTTCCTAACATACGCAAACTTGCCTTTTCCACACTAATACGTCCGAAATTAGAATGTGCATCAGCCATTTGGGATCCCGAACATGCTTACATCATAAACGACATTGAATCACTGCAAAATCGTGCCGCTCGCTTCATATTTTCAGATTATTAACGTCATTCCAGCGTCACAGCACTAAAACGCCGAGCAGAGCTACCCGAACTACTCCATCGTCGCAAACTTTCACGCCTATCTCTTTTCCATAAACTTTACCACCCCGCGTCACTTCACGGTGATTTCTTCGAGCCACCTGCCGTTATTTTTCCACGCCGCGATCACCCCTACAAAGTTAAACGCGTAACCTGTAAGTCATCTGCTTTTTCCCGGTCATTCATTCCACGTACCACAATCGATTGGAATAATCTACCATCGCACATTGCCTCAGAAAAAAACACCACGAAGTTTCAAGAACAAATTCAAAATACTGATGCCATCTAACTTTTGCTGTTTTACATTGTTGTTTCCTCTTTTCCGGAACGTGCAGAGCAAATGTGTACTATTTTGTTTTTACCTTGACTGAGCTTTATTGCAGTGTGATGAGTGAGTGTATGTTTTTTATTCGTTTTTGAGTGTATCCTTTATTTTCTTTTTATTATTAAGTGCATTGATTGTTTTCTAGTATTCTCATATGTTGTTCAATGTGCACTAGTTCCTATTGGAACGATTTATGTACCCCCCCCCCCCCTATGTAATACCCTCCCACGAGGGCCTTTAGGGGTAATATGAATAAATAAAATAAATAAATAAATATTGAAAAGCGTTTTTTTTTTTTTTTTTTTTTGTTTTTTGTATTTGAGGCATCTTTCTAGTTTGTGCACAAGCATTTTTGTTTTGAATATTGTCCTACCGGAAACGAATTTTGTTTTTATAAGATTGGGGATATGTAGAATACAACGTGAAGGTGTAATTAGAATTTGTTTTTATTTATGAAAACTTAAAAAGAGATCTTTTGTAAGCTATTTTAAGATATAGATTTTGCAAATTGTATTTATTTTAAAATGACAGAGGTTTTCTACACATTATTTCTGTTGTTTATTGCGCTCAGTGGTTTAAAAGAAGCGAATTAGCCTATTTTACTAGGCTCTCTTAAGTGTGTTGCCATGCCCACGTCACACGTGCACGCCAGAAAAAAAAAAAATTATGCGTGTTCATTTCATCCAGAACATAAAAAAACAGGCTATATCAAATTTAACATCAGATTTATCAAAAGTAGATCAAGCAAATAAGCTTGCTACCTTATTTGATGGAGTTGCTAAAACGAGTTCTGCTGAAGCTTACGCTCACACCATCCGCACCACTCTTTTCCATTCCTTTTTTACAGCCTTAAAATATAAGGGTGTTCCATGCAACAGCACTCTCTTTTGTAATTATAGCAAGGATGAATTACTTCAGATAAGGGTGCTGAAAGGGTGTTTGCCAAAGGTGTAAATCTTTGAAACGCGCCTTCTAGACCCTTAGTGGTGTAAATAGATTTAGTGAACACTGAGAGCACTCACCTGTTCGAAAGCCTACAGCTGATTTGTCAAGCCGGCCTAAAGCTCAATCATGGAACTAAAGATACGCTTGCAACTGATAAAGGCTTGCCCAGAGCATCAAATGCAATAGGTCGATATCAATGGGAACTCACCTGTTATAATACCCGTCCTCTCAGGCATGCCGCATGATAGTGCACTGGGTGATATTATCAAGTAATTGTCGAATATGCTTTCGACAAAAGTTGATTTTTCTGCAAAACATAATGACGGACTATCTGACGTGACACTGACTCTTTCTGGCTAAAAAAATGAAGCCACTTAAAAAAAAAAAAAAAAAGCGTATTGAAAAAAAAAAAACAAAAAAAAAAACGCCGACAATACGATTGCCGTTCTCCCTCGTCCGTAAAGTAGTTAACCGAAATTGAGATTGTGGAATATTCATAGCTTTTGGGAGTCACTTTCTTCGAACATAATGTCACGGGATAACTCTATACATTTTTTTTTTCTAGTTAAAAATTACAGGTACGTTCATTTGATCAAACGCGATGGAATGCGGTAGCTTCACAGGAATTAACGTGGTCAGTGAAAACAAATAGGAAAGGAAATGGTGATAAAATGGCTGTGATACGCCGTGCACACATCGAACACGACATCAAGGACAGCGTTTAGGACGACGTCGAGGATGACGATCGACTTACTACCTCTTGGATGACCTCAAGGACGACCTCAAAGGCGACCCATGGCACGACCTCTAGGACATGGGCGTACCAACAAGGGGGGGGGGGGGGGGGGGGGGCGGGGGGGAGGAAAGGGGGGGCTTACCCCGCCAGTTCTCACAGTGGAGGGGCAAAGAATCTGTTTTGCCCCCCCCCCCCCCCCCCCCCCCCCCCCGCCCCCCCCCCCCCCCCTGAAACAGCCGCCACTGGGCAGGAAACACTGGCTGGCTGCGTCCAAAGGATACGAAGGGCACCCCGCCCCGGGCCCCCGGGGGAGGGAAGGGGGAATCTGGTTTGCCCCACCACTCATAAAGAAGTTGATACGCCGCTGCTCTAGGACGACGTCGAGGACAACGTCAAGGACGTACGTCAGGTCACGTCAGCTTCAGCTACCGACGCTTACGAGCTTACGCGAGCGGAGCTTACGCAACTGGCGCTTACGCTTCCCTGCATCCACGGGCGTTAGGTGACCTTGCAAGTATCGTTGGTCTCTCTCTCCCTCCCTGCCTCCCTTCAGCTTCGGGCCGGGCGCGGTCCGTATGTGTAGCAGCGGAGAGGGAGAGGTTTTGTTGACCTCCGCGTGTACCGCAGAAGACGTTTCACCGTAGTTCCCGTAACCGCCACACACAGCTGCAGTTAGGCAAATAATCCGTGTTTTATTTTGCGATTACGCAGCGGGAATAGCAGTTTTATGGGGGGACAAGGTGGAGCATTGTTTGTCACTTGTGCCTAGATAAACGATGTAAAAGGTCGCGTCCTTTTTAACACTAAAATCGTTGCACTGCCCCTTAAATATGCACCTGGATCTTCGTGATTCGTCCTTAGGCACCCTCATCCAGAGCGAAAGAGGTCTCGTCACTCGTCACCACTGATCTCTATGACAATTGCTGGATCGCGCTTCCCCGCTTGTTCGCTGCAGCGCAAGTGAAGCCACCGGACTTCACTCGCTTGGGATACGATTTGCCGTTTTTGCTAGCCTTTGCTGCGGTTTTCCAGCGTGCTGTAGACACGTTTTCTACTCGTTCGTCGTCATTCGCCGAAGAAGTTTTTTGAAGACTCTGTGTATTGTTGAGACTTGCCGTTGTGAACACGTGGAAAATTTTACGAAAGTGGAGTGTCGCAGGAAAAAGGCACAACGCGTCGAAAGGAAGGACTGGCGGCGTGTTCAAAGCTTCCTTGGCACGCCTAAGTGCCGTGTCTCTGTGCCTTCGCACGCTTGGATACCGACCAAGAACCGACGCCGTGTGTATGTGTTTAGCGAGTGCAATGTGCGTGAAGCTGTACGTGCCTCTGGATAAGCGTCTTTTCCCCTCGCGGTTTAGGAACGAGCTTAATCCAGCGTCCACTAGCGACGGAAGATGGGGGGAAGGTACGTCTTTTTTTCGTCCTTAGACGATTTACACAATACCGTGCACAACAGCTCCTCATCACTGATCAGTGCTGGCTTATTATCAACCTACTTAATTGCACTTGACGTTTGAGCGCGGCTCGCCTAATTGTAATTGGTCAACAGATTGCACACGACCATATCGGCCGCGCTTCAAAGATTTTCATTCTCGCTGTCTTGTACTTTTGCTTTCGAAAACCCCCCTGGCTCCACAACGTTGCCCTATTCGTGCTCCCACGGAATCTATTTGAGTAGATTTGGGACATAGCCATGGTTAATATAGTACATAAGAACACGTACAGATCTCCCCCTTTTATTGATAGCAACTCACCGGAACAGCTGGACGATCCAGAACTCCGTGGCCGATATATGTAGATGATCTAAAGGCATCTACGCGCGACACACGTTCAGAACTTTGGCGCGGCGTCAATTCTTGACCGGTATCCAAGCGTGCGAAGGCACAAAGATACATCACTCGGCGTGCCAAGGAAGCTTTGATCACGCCGCGACACCGGCGACACGTTTTCGACGAGTTGTACCTTTTGATACGGCTTCACGCACATTGCACTCGCTAAACACATTCACACGGCGTCGGTTCTTCGTCGGTATCCAAGCGCGCGAAGGCACAGGGACACGGCACTTCGGCGTGCCAAGGAAGCTTTGAACACGCCGCCAGCCCTTCCTTTCGACGCGTTGTGCCTTTTTCCTGCGACACTGCACTTTCGTAAAATTTTCCACGTGTTCACAACGACAAGTCTCAACAATACACAGAGTCTCAAAAAACTTCCTCGGCGAATGACGACGAACGAGTAGAAAACGTGTCTACAGCACGCTGGAAAACCGCAGCAAAAGGCTAGCAAAACGGGAAATCGTATCCCAGCGGGTTTGGGTCCGGTGGCTTCACTTGCGAGAGCGGCAAGCGCGATCCAGCATTTGTCATTGAGATCAGTTCTCGTCACACTTTTGTTCAGCAAGAAAAAAAGGAAAAAAGATCGTGTAAAATGTTGATTGCCACTCCTCTATTCGGCTCTAATAAAAATCACCTTTAAAACGCAAATTTATGATTATTGGTCTTACGTAATCCGTGAAACACAATTTTAAATTATCCCAGTCCCTGTAGGACTCGCGTCACATACGCACATTTGGTTCGGGTTTCGTTCTCTAACGACGGAGCAGGGACTCTGCAAAAAACATAATATTACATCATTGTAATATCTTAACCTTTGCCTTTTTCTAATTGAGGTTTTTTAATTGCAAACTATATTGATTTATTGTGCTGCTATCCCGAGATATATCCGATATATCCGGAATGCTGGTGGCTAAGCGTGCCGAAACTGGAGAAGTTTCACGAAAACGCCGAGCAACACTGTGTCAACTCTCAAGGATGGCGGATCTTGTTGAGCGTGTTCTGCTCCACGTCGCGGAACATGGAGCGACAGATTCCCTGGACTTGGCATATCGGCTCGATGTCGACCATCAAAAAGTCGTTGGAGCAATCAAGAGCATCCAATCCTTTGGCGATGTGAGTCTGCTTGCTGCGCTATGACGACACTGCTGCTGTCGTTCGTTGACGGGCCCGCGAATGAATGGGCTCGGCCGGATTTCATCATGCTCTTTTCTGGAGTTATTTTGTTTTCTTCTTTATTTTGTGTCAGTTTGTTGAATATTAGAGTTGAAACCTCATTGTTGTGGGTTAAATTGCGTTCCTGCCTACAGTGTGCCAGTATCTGACGTAACTGACGTGTGTGTGTGTGTGTGTGTGTGTGTGTGTGTGTGTGTGTGTGTGTGTGTGTGTGTGTGTGTGTGTTGTGTGTGTGTGTGTTGTTGTTGTTGTTGTTGTTGTTGTTCAGCATTCAGTCAAAAAAAAAAAAAAAAGTTATGGATTTTGGCTATCTTTCAGGAGGTCACATCCGTTTCTTTTCCAATAGAGGAATTTCTCACAGGGTGCACTCTCTGTAATTCATGTTACGTGCATTCAGAAAAGGGAACACTTGTGATCAACAAACTTTTCCCTGATTTTTATGTTGTCGTTACACAGGAGCAGTGCATTGGAATTCAGATGAAGTAAAAAAAGACCTTCGGTTCTTTCAAAGCGTTACAAATGTCCCCCTTTATGTTTCGAATTAAGATACTTGCATTCTCATTTAAGATATGAGTTATTATAGTCTTATCGAAATGTACATGCGTCAAACGCAGAAATCTTTTCTTTGATAGCCAAACTTTGCAAGAACTATTTCATGTAACGTAGGAACTATGTGCAAAGGTGATTTGACAAGTATAGGCGAAGAACATCTTGGAAATCTCATATGCTTTCACACATCTAGCTAACGACACCCATAGACTTAAAGGGGAGAGAAGAGCTCCTTGAATTCGAACAAACAATAAAAGTTGACGTAGACCCGCTCGTTGCAGCGCGCCGAAGGTAGGAAAGCGCGAGAGCGGTGAGAGAAACTAGCAAATGTGATGTCATCAGCACGGTCAGATGACCCTTGCTTGCCACTTAGCTTGCTCAGGGATGCCGTCAATGACGTCATGACGCTCTTAACAGAAAGCAGGCGGCAGAGAGGATCCCCGCATGCCCGACAACAATCGCTGTGCATGTTTTTTAGACTAAATGCGGTTTACATTTACTTCTGGCCAAGATGGGTAAGTGCTACGACTGAATTCACTAGACAAAACGCTATAGAAATCCACTCCTAACAGATTTTTTTTGAAAATTGCTTCAGCTTTCCTTTAATTAATTTGATGGACCCAGTCAAACTATGTTGCAATCCATAGACCTCCCGAACGAAAGTGTCGGAGTGGCGGTGCCTAGAACGGGTCTTCTACTCGGGGGGGGGGGGGGGGGCTTAGCATTCTTAAGTGGCAACTAACGACGTCGCAAAAGCCGCAATGTCACGCTGTTTGGTGCTGTCACCCTGGCAAATGGTCAAACAAGTTCCGGGAAAAGAAACGCGAATGAACGCTAGTATCGCCGTCGCTGCGGCGAACCGACTCGGCTGCCGAGGCTTCCACAGTCCGTCGAGCCGGAGGGCAACCCATGGCAGATCGGGCATCTGCCGTACCCACCTCTGCTGCCGTACCAAGATCGTGGTAGGCAGACGGTGCGATAGTAGCGTAACGCCGTCGGGCGAAAGCCGAGGGACCACAAACAAGAATGTCGTCAATGCACCGGTCGGGCCCATGTTCCAGGCTCTGTAACAGCAGCCAGTGCCACTAAATTTCGATTTTCAGTTTACACCCAGAGTTTGAGAGGGGGGTAAGGGGACTCGGGAACAGGGGAGAAATTGGAATCTTGCACCTTGACGAGAAACTTGGTGGGCGGAATATTAATTAGGGCTGGGCGTCGATTAAAAGTTTTAACCTGATTAATCACCACCCTTTAATCGCTTAATGAATCTATTAATCGGTCTCATTAATTTCCATGCATAATATTTTTAAAAAGTCAAAAATTAATATTTGTTTTCTGTTTTTGCCTTTGCTGAACATGAGGTAAAGGGCCTAATACACAAGTTTTATTATGATTCAACCTTGATGTGTAGTTAAGAACAGTTCGAAGGCACTGACACATTATTACTTCAGGTGCATGAGGTAAAAGGTTCGGTGATATTATCCGGCAAGAGCGACCTCCTTTGATTGTTCACACCATAGTCTCTCTCTGTTGCACTAAACGGACACTCAAACCCCGTTGAAGTGGCCGGGAGACGTGTAACCTTCAGCACCTTGTCAGGAGTTACGAATCTTCCCCCTACAGTTTACTTTAGGCTAAATTCTGACATAAAGTTCGCCCTTCATAGAGGTGTTGTCGTCCATGTCTGCGTGGTGAAAACGTTTACTTTTTACTTTATTTTGGTTCGTTAAGATATTACCAATTAACCAGTTTAAAAAATTAATCGCGATTAAAGCATTAATCGATTAATCGGTATGTTAATCGATCAAATGCCCAGCCGTAATAATAATGCAAATATGTCGACGGGAATTAACGGGTCATATACAAAAAATAATACGCAGTTAGAGAGATAAAAAAAAATGGGTACAATGCCTTTCCGTTTGCAAGCTTGACATGAACACCTTGCTCCTCTGTAAAGTTCAGTTGCGCGTGGTTAGCACGTGCCAAGGCACCCGTAGCTCGTAGTTTATTCTAGGATGTGGTAAAGTAAGCCATGCTTCAAAATAACAACGCTTCGGCCGTCTCTGCGCTTAAAATGGCGTTGTCAATTATCTGAATTTCTATACAAAACTGCAGGTAACACTTCTACATCCTCTAAAACTATTAAAATAGCCCGTGATAAAGCAAAACTGCATCGCCTGAGCTTCCCACTTCCTAAGGCTCGGGAAGTGAAATTTCCTAGTTTTATTTTACAGCGGAGCTGTTAAGAGCTAGGTTCCCGAGGATCGTATCTGGTACAAAACACTTGTCGACAAAAATGCCTCTGGACAGCTACCGCCATCTATAAGCGACGGCGGCAAGCACACAACCAGTATGGTTGCCGCTGTCGCTGGTAGATGGCTCCAACCTTTCCAGCTATCATAGAAAAAGGGATAGTTGGGCGGCGCGTTGGTGGTAATTCATCGTAGGAAACAGCGCGAAAAACAGACGATGACAAAGAAGGAGCACACGTAACGAGCGCAGCGCTCGTCTGTTTTGTGTTGTGTTTCTTCGTCCTTGCCTGTTTTGTGTGCTGTTTCCTACACTCTTACCAGTTTCGGTTTGGACTTAGGATGGGTTGGCCGTGCGCAGAAGGAGCGGGGAAAAAAGACTGCCTGCAGAAGGAGCGGCGACGTACGCAGCAGCGCGAATGGGTCCGCAACCGCCGCAAAGCCGCTGTCGCCTCGACTTCCACTGCGTCCAGCGCTTCAGATTACCTTGTCAAAAAGCACATCGCTCGACTGGAAAGCTGCCGCCGAGAACAGAAACAGCGATGTAAAGGGTGCCGGCGGGCCAACGTCACGGACGATGACTGTGCCACGAAGGCAGCGCGAATCCCGGCGACAACTGCACTCCACGCCGGCTGAACAGTTCCCGGGTGCGACCGCGATGTTCCGGAGGGTGTTCATGGATTACCCATTTGGCGTCAAGGCATTGTGTGCAACCAACTCAGGTTCGCCGGCGTCTCAGACGAAAAAAAGCGGGAAACAAGCGCGTGCGCGTTGCGGCAGTGTATAAAGTACAGCTCCGCTGTTCTTCCTTCTTCACGAGAGTGGAAAGGCTGAACGTTTTAATTTAGACATACTGCAGGCCTTGAACAGGCCCCTGCAGGTGTGGGGTACATACAAAACAACACAACTATACATATGAGAAACAAGAAACACATGGCAACCATATATATTGCTAATACAACAATATATATACATATAAACGCCATCGGCATAATAAATATTCCATAATCAATGCCTAATATACAATAAAAATGCATGTCCAAACACCAGGAAAGGAGAACAGTCAAAAGGTGTGATTCTCAAGAGCACCACTGAAGTCGGGGGCAAAAAACAAATGTCACGAGGGAGGGCGTTCCAATCCGTAATAGTGCGTGGGAAAAAGGAAAACTTCAAAATGTTAGTTCGAATGAATATTGGTACCAGGGAATACTGATGACGGTGCCTAGTTTCCCTAGATAATGATGGGGATAAATATAAACTTGATTCAATGCGGAGTCTGTTCTGATAAAGCAAAAACAAAAAGTTTAGTCTCGAAATTTTTCGAGATGCTGGAGTGATGATATATTGTTTGCCACCATTAATGAAGATGGGGGAATGTAGCCGATTATACTTTTCATAGATGAAGCGAATAGCTCTCCTGTGAACCATCTCAAGCTGTGACGCATCTTTTTTGGTATTCGGGCCTATTACAGGACAATCACCGACCGCCCTCTAATAAGCACGAACGTGGTGGTGCCCGCAAGGTTATTAGGGGAATGGGGTGCCGACACTGCGAAGCAGGTGTTCGGAAACTTCAATCTCAAGGAACCCTCGCCTGCCTCAACTGATTGCCAAGGAACCCCGCCTGGTGTCCACATTGATGCAATAAAGCAGTTCAGGTGCCTACGGAGCTTGCTATCAAAAATGAATGCGCCAGTCAACCCATAGTTATGCATGGATAGATGGCTCCCGTCGACCAATAAGGGTGCTTTAACTGGGATTACTTAGGAGCTGGGATAGTGGAGATAATTTTGGAGCTTGGCGGGTGCTCTGGGGAACCCCTTTGTTCCTTGGAGTTTGGAAAATGTGGTGTCCTCACGGACACCGCAGCGGAGAAACCACGCCAGTCAGCTTTACAAACCAGTACTAAAATGGTAAGGTGTGCTAGTTGGTGAGACATTTCAAACAGCAATTTCATTTATGATTTCTTATTTGAGTATCTTTCATCATTTTTATTTTTGATGAATATCTTCACTTCCTCTCTCTCTTCTGGATAAAAACGGCGGTTTTGAGCTGGCGCTTTTCCCGTCTTGCTGTTCTTGTTTGTGCATACTTTTCGTGTTATTTAATGTTCATTGTGTAACAATCCAGACTGCTTTTTGCTTCCAAGAACAAACAAGAAAACGCAGGGTAACAAACAAAAAGAAAATGTACGATAACAAACTCTGGTAAAAACCAATGTTGTAATACAGAAGCTTTATTTGGGATCCAAGCGCATCATGTTGCGTTTCAGTCTTGAAAAGGTAGACATATTAGCTGTGTGCTTTGCATTTGAAACACCGTATATGCTTGTGTATAAGCCGTCCTAGTTTATAACCCAGACCCCCTCTTTGGATGCAATAAAAAAAAAAAATTATAAAGGTGCCTAAAGTGAAGGACTTGTGTATAACCTGCACCCGAGTGGAATTAAGAAAAAAAAAAAGAGGCTTTTACAGAAGTATATGTGGTATGCTCTTCTTACATGTAAGCTACTCAACTTTGTATTGATGCGGGCCTGGAAATCTTACAAAAAGAAAGAATTAATTGTTTGTAATTTATTAATCTAATTGTTAAAGCCCGACCTGCAAGACATTTTTCCTGGTAGAAAAATCCTTCTCGCCACCTTTGACCTCGGAAAAATACATTGAAGCAACTAAATTTATCGAAGCTACCGCAACAGCAACACTGAGAGAACATCTTCGCGCTGTTATACCACGCAATAAAAAATGTCAGCGTGGAGAATCTCCACTAGGAATGTGCTCCAAAGGTAGCTCGTTCAGCGGCTGTAGCGTCAGCCAGCATGTTGCTACAAGTCCTAGTTTCTTCTGGCCAGTTGTTCTTTTTTTCAGTCTTCTAACTGGGGTGGACACCCTTCCCGTTGTTTTGGGCAGGTGATCCAGGCGGAGCAGCGGAGCACCCGTCTCTGGGAGCTCACGGCGGAGGGGCAGGAGGTGGCCGAGAAGGGAAGTCACGAAGCCCTCGTCTTCCAAGCCATCCCCCAGCAGGGCATCAGCCAGCAGCTGCTCATGGTGGGTGGCGAACAGTGATTTCCCTACAACAAGGGGGGGCACACCCCCCTAGGGGATGTGCCCCCTTTGTTCCCTAGGGGGGTACATTCCCTTTGTTCCCCTTTGTTCCCTAGGGGGGTACATCCTCTAGGGGGGTGTGCCCCCCTTTGTTTTTCGGAAGGCACGCCCTTAATTTGCAACGACCTCTCTATTCTCAATGCCCTCCCCCTAAAAATTCAGACACCCCCCTAATTTCAATTCCTGGGGAAACCCCTGGTGGCCAGGTCGCTCGACCTGCCCGACCTGCGTGAAGCGCCCAAACTCCCAAGCCTACACCAGCTCGAAAAAATGCTGACAGCCGCTGAAAACGATTTCATGCAAAAGCTGTTTAAGGCTAGGGTTTCGTCAAATACGATATAGCTTCGGAAAGTCCTCCGAAAACTCATAGGAGCGGCGGCGAACGTGACAGTGGCGCCTCTAGCGGACTCGGAGTCTACGGAAGCAGTCGTCGCAATGGAAAAGTATAGGCTCCGCGACGTCCTCGAGCTTTACAAGCTTCGTATCGTCACCCTAACAGCAGAAACAATTTATTGCGGTCAGTTCGCTTTCAAAGCGGAATCCACTGATCGCAACTGCAACGACAATCGAATAACAACGCCCGCATAAACAAAGATAGAGCAGTTTATTTAGCGGTCTCAAACGCCTCTCAGGGGATCACATGCGTTTGAAACGCGTCTGGGAAGCGGTAAAAAGGCGTTTAGCTACTCGAACTACGTCGTAATCGTTAAAACATGCAAAAACGACATGTTAATATTACCAGAGCAAGCGCACGAGCTGCTGGTGCATAAAAACAAAACAAAAAGTGAGGACAAAAAATAACCGTGCAAACACTTACCGAACTTTGCAGAAAACATGGTGTCGCCATTCCCGACGAAAATAAAAAGAAACGGGAAAGAGAAGCGAACAACGGCGAATAAAACAAAGAAGCTAGCAAAAAACTATTTCAACGACGACGATCGTTGCGGCGCTTATAGAAAAAAGAAAGAAAAATGGAAAGCAGCAAATGAATAGCTGGTGGTCGCCACCGGTGTTGAGTTCACGACAAACAAAGCGGAATCAACACACGAAACAAATGAAAAAAGAAGAAAGCGACCCTTTTTTTTTTTTTCAGCTGCTTTTTGTACATTTCTTTATTAGCTTTCGCGGCGTCGGTACGAACTAAAAACAAAACAGGGGAAATAAATAACGTAGTGCAGCTCACACTGCCCGGTAAAAAAGAGTCGCAGAAATGTTTTGGTCGCAGGCAGCAATCTTCTATATGTGCTAGCAATGAGTAACCTTTTTTTTGCTTTCGAATTTCTTTTTCCAGTGACTTTGGCGGGTTGTTCGTTCGCTCGCTTGACGAAGTAGTTTAAAAGTGCATTCAAGTACTTGTTGACGTAGGTGTCCGTAGGTTGACGTAGGAAGCAGAAGAAAGATTTTCCACCACATCGCACAAACTTGTTCTTGCAATGGTAGGCACCACATCGCACAAACTTGTTCTTGAATGCGGCCGGTTGATCAACAAACGATGACCCGTAGCAGACGTGCCGGCCGGAGTACACAAATAAAATTTGAATAAAAATGGGTAACGAGCTTACACTTCTTAATATATTTAATAAATATCAAAAAGCACGTATGACGATTTTGGATTAGAAACTCAATCGAAGGCGAAAATAGGAGGTTATCGCAGACGACAGTGGAAGAAAACAACAACAACAAGAGCAAAGTTGCAGACGGCCCTCAAAATGCCCGGGCCTAGCGCAGACAAACGGGGGTAGTAAGCGCCGAAGCGAAGGAAAGGGAGTAGAAACTGAGCCAAACGAAGCAAGGATACGCGATTGTTTACATGTCAGGCAAAAAAAAAAAAAGCAAAAAGCAAACAAAAAATATACACAGCAACATATAAGCAAGAGGAAGAAATAACGCGGCAGAGTGGCGTCGCCTCAAAAATATAAAAGAAAGAAGACTCAAAAATGGAAAGAGTGGAAACGGTTCAACGGGTGTCGGCCTTTATCGTAGAAGTAAAGAAGCAGCGAAGCAGAAGATGTTGGTCGTCCCCGCGCTAACAATCGGAATTTGTGCACTGTAAATAACGTGACTGAAATCACCTTTTTTCACCGGGGCTACGACGCTCTCCCCTTCTTTCTTTGCAAGCGCGAGAAGTCTGCTTTTTTCGTAACTCCGCTTTTGTTAATCTATAATCGCGTCAGATTTGCATATGCACAACGCCTTCTTTCGGAGCATACTGACATTGCCGTAACGTACGTGGTTCGAAATTGACTTCTGCTTCTTCATCCGGAGACGATCTTAACGGGATTAGCTAGCTCGCCTGTTCGACGAAACGGTTATAAGCAAGACACTCACGAGAAATGGGAATTGCAACGACAACACGAATTGACTGATAAGAACAATAAAGTTGAAACGAAGCTATGTTCTGAAATGTTTGTACATTTCCCTTTTTCACGAAACAGCGCGAAGGCATACATTCGTGTTTTGCTTGGCTTACATAAGTTGTGACAGAATGTTTTCTTCGGGAGAACTCCGAAATTGCACCCAGAAAGCTGTAACATCTTTCCCACGCGAAGAGAATGTCCTTCACTCATGAGCTGGCGCCCATTTTTTAACTTTCAAAGCAGCGAATGTCCGTGACAATTTTTTTTCCTTGGTCACCTCGCACGGAGATAGGCAAAACCAATGCATTTCGGAGAATTTGTCTGCCAGCGGAGACTCCGAGCTCGCCAGGGGCGCTGCAATCACTTTTCGCCCGTTTTCCGCGGGAGTTGCCAGTATTGGCTTCCACGGTATTTGGTTTCGTAGAAAAGGAAGTCCCGAAGAAAAAGTGTGACGCAAAAGTGTGAGGCATCATTTTCCTGTCGGATTTAGTGGAGATATCGAATTGGCGTATAATGATGTACAATGCGGTTCACTCATAACGATAGCAGATATAACGATGTACTGCCTATGACAATCAGTTTTTAGACAACAAATGCTCAGTTTCTAATATAGGTACAACAATAATTGGTTATAACGATTGAATTTTTGGGTTTTCTCATTATCGTTATGAGTGGATTGCACAGTGCAGAAAAACCTCAGTGTAACTAATTTTAAGGGACTAAATCGTTAGTTATCCAAAATATTGCTGCAGTGTAAAACTCGTAAATCGGCACTATAATAATTCAGTTGAACTTTTGAAATCGCGTACCTCCGCAACGAAGTGCCACTTGGTCGTATCCGATCAAAAAGCATTGCACGCAATGAAATGCCGCATATTTAAAAGAAATCTCAAATCTTTCTGGTAGGTGCAGCACCAACACTGTTGGATGAATGATTCCACGTCATCCACATTCTTATGGATCGCATCCATAACATCGGTACAGTTTCCAAGGAATGTGCCCCACTTGCTGATTGCACCCGGGACATTGGATGTGAAAACAGATTCTTCCTGTCAGTCCCCGAGCGCTACCTCCTCGCCTATGTCGTCGTGGCTGTCCTTGCCACTGCAGTCTTTCTTTCTGGCGGACGAGGCTTTGAATGTTGTCGGCCGTCGGCTCTTCTGACGTCCATGCTGCGTCGTAAGCGTCCGCAGCAAGCTTCTCGGTAACTTCGCTCCACAGTTTGCTCGCATTGCTTTCGTTTAGGTGCTTGCCCCCTTCTGTTTGGATCGGCGTTTTCAGAAGAGGAACTTCTTGTCAGAAAATCAAACCGAAGCTCGCAGCACGGAGGAAGTTTGCGAGAAGCCCCCCCGCCGACAACGTACTCTAACGAGTGTGAGATGAGAACTACACCTAGCAGCGTACTGCGCGTTTGCTGTGGGCCAACATTTGCTGCTGATGATGGTTCTCAGTTTGTGAGTTGCCTAGTGGCAGAAGCCACGAAGTGGCGGGAGCACAACCCATCAAGTCCGAACTGCGTTGCCATTTTGCACAGACAACGGATATTTTTTGTTGGTCACCTACAGTGACATACTTGTAGAACTGAGAGGGAAGTTTCCTGGGAAACCAAAATTATCTTTTTAATGCTAGTAAATGAATCCAGACAATCAAGCCAATAAAAATGGGTTATATCTGGAGCTCCGTGTTTTCGGATAAATCCAAAAAAACTCCGAAAAACACCCGCCGGTAAAATTTTGGTCAATTCGGATTTATCCGATAAATTCCAAATGTTTATCTGCCAATGCCACCCCCCCCCCCCCCCCCCCAAAAAAAAAAAAAAAAAATTTTTTTTTTTTTTTTTTTACAATTAGTTTAGCACAGGGTCAATGGTCCTGGGAAAATGGCACCATAATTATCTTTCAAATCTCGGACGGTTGTCAAAAAAGGTTTTACCGCTTGTCTCGTCAAGGTTGATTCAGGGCAACAGGTCATTGTACATTCGTGTCAGGACAAAAGCCACTCTTTTGGTTTCCAGTTTGGGCCATGGGATTTAGAGAAAGGAGACGGTATGTTTCTGGGGGTAACAGTGAAAGCTGTGGACCATAGAGATTGTATTAAATAGAGAAAAGGAACAGTCAAAACTATCCCTTTCTCTTTCTTTTTTTTTTTTTTTTTTTTTTTTTGTATTGTGATTATGCACGATTTTTTGTATATTGATATTTCCGACGCTTCTGCAGAATGTACTGGGGCTGAGAACTCGTCAGGCCGCATAGCGCGGCTTTTTTTTCTTGGCTCCACCATTAGGTGTAATGGAAATAAACTGTTATTATTATTATTATTATTATTATCTATTACATCCTTAACCACTACACCTCGTGCGGTCGCGGGATAGATTGAGGGGACGACTACGAGCTTCTTTGCAGCTACCTCTGGAAGTTTATTGATTTTAAGGTATCGACATTTATCGAAGCCACACTTGTGTACGACTTTTGTCGTGGCACAAATTAATAATGCCAATGGCAATGGCACGAACGTCAAATTCAACTGAAGAAATTTTAGTCGATACAAGCACGTTTTATTTTTTATTTGGCTTACCTTTACATACGGTTATTATTTACATATTTATTTTTAATAGGAAATACTGTGAAATTAAACTCCGAATTTCAAAGAATTCGCAATCAAACAAATGTAAACTCCGATAAACTTTGAATCTTCGGCAAAAAAATAAACTCCGAAAACACGGAGCCCTAGTTATATCATAAAGGGCAAGGATTCCCAACAAACATTCAACTCAAAATTTGGAAAAGTGTTTCACAGCCCCTTGAGGCCCAATGAGGAGGAAGCTTCTCGAACCTTGAGACATTGTGTGTGCTACTTACACATGTGTAATTGCATTGTTTTGATAATGCAACCGCCGTTTCGAGGCGGCCGTGTATAAGCAGGCAACATGACAACCGTTTTCATGGGACTTGGGAGCAGGGGCAGATTTAGAGGGGGGTTCGGATGTCCTGACCCCCCTCTTGATTTCTGCATGCGTAAAATTTAGGGCGTAAAACGAGGGAGAGGGCGAGGGGTTCCTAAACATATGGTACGCTGACCAACACCTGACCCCCCCCTCAGGAAATTCCTGCATCCGCCCCTGCTTGGGAGACGCATGATGGCACTTGCACAGTGAACCGCCACCTCTTATCGCGCCCTTCGCGTCTCCTACAAGATCAACGGTCGCTTCTTCCGCGTTACTTGAAGTAAAATAGTTGCGACGTCGCGGTACTCCGCTCTGCAAGAGAAGCATGTACAGTTAATCTGGACATTAAATGACAGAAATTGGGGTGGGATCTCCTTGGCAGAATCCGTACGAGCAGAACCTGTTGTCCTATCCTTTTCTTTCATCTCGACTCCCGTCATCTGCTATGCCCAAATAAAGCTTGTGAACTTGCTGATTAGTTTGAGAATGTTTTCCAAAGAGAGGAAACATCCCCAGCATGTGCTTATCCCTCTTTATTTCGCTGTGCTGGACATAGTTCCGCCACGCTCTCGGCAGCACGGAAGGATCCGCAGATGACCTTGGGACGCCCTAAGGTTCCAGATGATTTAGCAGGCAAAGGTGTGCTGACCCTTCTCGTCGAATTCCCGACGTTTTGTGTTGCTTTCTCTGCCTCGCAGAAGAACGTTCCCAATGCCAAGGTGGGCTTCAGCAAAGCCATGTCCTTGGGATGGGTTCGTCTGGACAAGACTGGTGACGGAGGACCCACTGCCTTCCGCAAGGTGAGTGCCTACTGGTGACTCCCACTAATTGTTCTCTCTCGGCGCTTGTGTGTTTTTTGTGTCTCTCTCCCGTTTTCCTGTCCTTCGTGCAATATTCATTATGTCGTCTCAGTACCAAATGGCCCAAGTTACCACATAGTTATCACTCTGTTACCGCATTTTCTTCTTTTATTTCATCATCTCCTGATCTGGAAGTGCTCTTGTGCTATAGCAAGGCTGGCCAAACCGTTGCTCACAAGCTTCGTGCGGTTCTTCAAGGGCTCAAGTTGGGGGTGCAATAAGGGTGGGTAAACCCAGCCCCTTCCGCTACCCCCCGTCTAAAAAACAAACTTAAAAGGAAAAGCATATGGAAAAAAGAGGCAGCTTCCGTCTTGTCAGTTTCATGCCATTGTATGTACATTGGACAGGGTCCTTGTTTTACAAATGGTGACTCGCAATAATGAAACATGCTAAGCAATCTCTCTATGAGTAGAATTCGCTGTGGCCACCAACTGGGAAGAAAGAGAATGAAAAAAGTGCCACGTCTTGTTGTTGTTGCTTCACTTAAAGTGGTTCTTTTTTATGGCTTTTTGAATATGTCCGTCTCGCCACCTCTGTCCTATAGTTTCTGACAAGAAGAGAACGGTGTCTCTTTGGAACGCCCGACCTCCAGCACGTGCTCGTTGCCTTTCACGCCTTTTCGTGCATACTCTGGGCTTACAAGATGCCAACGTGTTACAGATGAAACTCGTTTAAGGGGTTTCCCCCCCTTCCCCCTCTCTCCCACGTCTCTCATCCACCCTATCTAATCCCATATGGAATGCGACCGCCCAAGCTGACGACCCTGCCACGGCCCCCGGTGCAGCAGAAGCTTCCCGGGGGTTTGGTTTCAGTCACCGCGAAAGCGAGATCTAAGTCGCCTCTTACAGAGAGAGCAGAGACAGCACTCGTAGACGGTTCAACCGCCAGCGCAAGCGATAAACGTGGTTTGTCTGCCGTGAAGCGTCCTTCGCGGGCGTAACTAAAACGAGAAGACGTCGTTCGTTGTCCCCTAGTGTGCCGGAAAGTAAAGTCTGTTGTTCGCTAGAAACCGAGCGCCACGGCGAAGTGTGATCGGACGCGCGCCAAAATTGTGATTGTCCGTCTTTTCACATTGGAAACCATCAACAACCCACACCTTTTTTTTTGCAAATTTGAGGTTGATCTACTGCCTCACACCATTGACCGGTGGAGGAAAAAAGTATGAGGACAAGCGCATGAGAGGTTACGAGACCTCTCTCGCTATTTGCTTGTCGACGAACGTACAAGAAACCACGTGGGGCCGGCTTTCCGTCGGCGGCATGTAATTTCTCACAGAGCACAGCCCGCACTGAACTGTTCACCAGGCTTTCTTCAGAAACCACACCCCCTCCTCGTTTTCTTTTTTTTTCGGTACCAGGACTTTTTTTTTTAGTATTTGGGTCGTGCACTTGTTTCCTGGAGGTTAAAGTATCTTGTGCTTGTGCCCTCTTTTCTTCGAGATAAGCCTTGAAAGGTGCCGATTTCTTGTCCGTAGCTGCACGTTGAAGCACTTTTGCGTTTTGAAGAAAGATAAGACCCAAAAACACAAAAACCTAGTTTAAAAAATTGAGCAGTCCCACATTAATCTACAGTGGAGTCACAGCAATACCTGCAACGCGTCGCAGTGAAGTGGTTGGGCATCGGCGTCGCCTTCACGCACTGTGGCATGCTGGAACAGAAACGTTAGAAACAAAATAGACAGCTGACCATTCTCTTCCGAACGCTTCTGTTTCTTTTTTATTCTGGAACGCGTGAGTGCGCGTCTCCCAGCATGAGCTCTTGGCATCCACGGTGCTACGGCGGCATTTTATTTATCGGCAATTTCTCCGTATGTTTCTAGAGCATGCACACGGCGGGCATCAAGTGCTACAAGTTTTGAAAACTTTTCAATCTTTTTTGTTTGGAAGCGCATGATGGCGCGTCTCCCGGCTTGAACTCTTGACATGGACAGTGCTACGACGGCGTTCCGTTATCGTCTATTCGTTTTCCCAGAGGCTGGGCGTCGGGTACTACAAAAATGCAAGGTACAGAGCGGGTTGTTAGCGCCGTGACGTAGCTCGGTAATTAATGTCTCCGCTTCGCATGCGGCGGACGCAGGTTTGGTGCTCGCAGGCTGTGGGCAGTCTTTTTCGAGGATATTGCAAGATCGACAACGGACGCCATACATCGCGAACTACATCTACAACTACCACTACTACTACAACATCAACAACGAATGTCATTTCTGGTGGTGGGAAGAGGCCATAGCAGCAGTCGTTGTAAAAGGGACGCTGACACCCCCAAAATTAATTTTTTTTATTTTTGTCCAGGCGATTTATTATGGTGTCAGGAGATTACCCAATCAATATTTTGCTACAGCATCACATATACTTTTAAAGGAGTCATGAAACACTTTTCCAACTTTTTCCTGTTTAGCTTTCCTCCTCAACTCATAAATCGCGCATTCTACCAAACAGTTCAAGAAGACGGAAAGGGGGGAGGTCCCCTCTTGCTTGGAATCTCGTTTGTGTACCCAGACACGGCCATTCTCCCCCTAGAAGATTAGCCCGTCGCTCAAACTTCAGACCAAAGTTGCTTTCCCCACCCCGTTCATTCCGAAGATGACAGTGCTGTGTGAAGCTACGGGCTCGTTGGGCTAGCCACATCTTTGCCGTGTGATCACACTTCCTTGCTCATACCCACGCGCAGAGAATGAGGTCAGGTGATGAAAAGGAGACGGCTGATTGGTCCGGCAAGCGCGTAGCTTCCACCACAATGTCAGCTTAGGGGTGAAGGGATTTAGTGAGGTCCGGTGTCGTGTGACATGCAAGTGGGCCCGATGACGCGCTGTGGGGATTGCGGATGTGTCACAGTGAAAAGGCAGAGAGCTTACGAAGGGAAGCAGGTACGAAATAGTCCGCTGTGTTTTCATATTTTTGTTCCGAAAGTCAGGCTTTTGACTTTCATCCTTTTTTTCTTTTGGGTCACTGATTGATGTGCTATTAGTAAAATCCCAATATAAATTGATTTATCCTAGCCAAAAATTTGTTTCATGGGCCCTTTAATAAAGTAAAAAACGCAATTGCTCAAACTAAGACTGGACTGGGGAGGAGTTTGTACCCATCCCTCCAAGAGAGTGGGACGAAGCCCCGTGGCACCTTAAAATTACATGTTCTGTAGGTTCCCTTTTGCGGTTGCATATGTCGCATATAGCGTCTGTTTTTTGGTATTTAGTCCTATATGTTTTCGTTCTTAGCATCTCCATTCTAGCTTCAAACTGCAATGAGCTCCCTGATGAATTATTAAGCAACTGTTCCCTCTTTATTTCTTGCTTTCGTGCCCTGTATATTGTTGAAGCTGGTTTCCCCTGCATGGCTTTCTTTCCACAATTTCCTCTCTGTTTCCTTTGCTCTCTTTTCTACTGATATGCTCTGATCGGCCCCATCTCGTTAAATGTATTTACATCTCAGCTTGCGGGTTCGGTTTGTCTACTTAGTGTTTAGAATTTTCATATATAGATACTTGCACACTATCGCTGCCCACCATGTATCTGCAATTTCATCTAGTCTTTATTCAAATTTTACTTTACTGATCGCTTCTCTACTCTCGAAAGATGCCCAACCCATATCCCCCTGTACTCCCTCATTTGGTGTATAGTATAGACCACTTACAACGTAACCGCTTATAGTGCAAGACCGGGTATAACGCGGCTTTTTTAAACCACCGGTTTGCCTCCCATAGAACTCCATGTAATTATATACCGCTTAAAATGCAGGCGCGCGAAGGGAAATACCGGTTATAGTGCGGTTTCTGGAACAGCCCGCGACACTAGATAACAGCGCCGACGGCGCTAGCCGCAAGTGGCACTCACGGGGCAAGGAGGTTGCTCGAAGAAGCGGGGAGAAGCGAAGAGAGAGGCTTCAGTTGCCATAGCGACGGAGAAACGCACGCACGTGTCATTCACGTGCGTGCGTGCGTCCCTCCGCCGCGTTGGAAATAACCGCAGCAACAGACCGATCGCAAGTCGAGGAGAAATGTTCGCGCGCGTTGCATGCCGGTCGCAGGCCGGCTTCTTCTATCCGCAAACATGGCGTCGGTCGTGATCGTCGACATAGACGGCGTGGTGGAAGCTCATCGTTCCGCGTAAAAGCGCTATCCTTGACTGTAAATTTCATTGTGTGTCGCTATGATAACCCAGCACATACTAGAAGGGAAAATACATTTACTCGTGCGGCGATGTCGTGGCGGCACTCTCAAGACGGCAGAAACGCCCGTGTCGTCGTGTTTGTTTACTTCGACTACAGTGGCGATTTCTAAGCATTTGTGTTTTCGAACATCGCCCGGATTTCTTATTTGGAGCATTTCATGCCTGTGCTCAAGTTGAAGGTATTACTGGCGCGTACCGTATAAAGGATGCGAATTTTCATGCGTTTTCATCTCCAGAGAAAAGGGATTAGGGTTAGCAATCCTGCACGCTCGCAACGTCCGTCCGCAACCCGCGGTGCCGTTAAAAGGCTGCGCCAGGCAAAAGTCGCTCATTTTGTTTCAAAATGTGTGACACACTTGATAGAGAAGTGTTCTAGTCTGGTGAAATAAAGACTTTCCTCAAACTAAGCTTTATTTTACAACTAACATAAAATAAATTCTTTTACAAAGGTAAGTTGTCTCACGGCATGTATTTTGGCCTGAAAAATTGATGTTTTGGTTATAGTGCGGTATCGCTTATAGTGCGGATTTTCGCGACTCCCACGACATACGTTATATGCGGTCTACACTGTATTCCGATGTGCCCCCAATGCCAACCTATCTCTAAACCTGCCTAGATTTCTGACCTTATACACAATACTGCATTCCCCAATGACAGTCCTGGCACCATGACTCCCTTCATACACCCCTAACGACTTCATATCTATTTTAGTTCCAGAGTGCCCCGTGTTTCATAATAGCTGAGTCTCGTTTCCCCTTCTTTATTACACTATCTTCACATTCTTTTAGATACTTTTTTCCCTCACTTAACCATACTCCCAGATATTTGTACCTTTCTACGTGTTCTATCAATGTGTCCTGTATCTCCAGGGGCTCCCCCTTCTCGTCGTTGAAAACTATTATACCAGACTTGTCCCTACTAAATTTTAGTCCTAAATTGTCCCCTTCCCTGCTGCAAATTTTAATCAGTTCCTGTATTGTCTCACGACTTTCTGATACGAGTACAATACCGTCTGCATACATTAACCCTGGCAATACTTGAATTACTTCATGTCCTCCCTCCATGTAAGTCAGGTCAAAACCTAGGTTGCACCGTTCTAAACTTTTTTCCATCTCACTGAGGTATATCATAAAGAGCAGGGGAAACAATGGGCAACCCTGTCTAAGACCTCTTTTTATTGCTGCTGGTCTTGTAGTTTCGGCTTCCCATGTTATAACCACCCTATTCTCCGTATAAACCCGTTCTAGAAACTTAACCATGGTTCCCTCTAGCCCATATCCCTTCAGTTGGTTCCAGAATTTTTCCTGATTCACATTGCCATATGCCCTTTTGATGTCTAAAAATGCTACCCATAATGGCCATTGACTTGCATTGCTATCTTTATGCACTGTGTGATTACGAATAAGTTATCATCTAGTTGTCTATCCCTCCTGAAACTGTTTTGAAGCTCCCCCAGAATCTGCTTTCTCTGTGCCCCTTTTTCTATTCTTCTTTTTACAATTTACATAGCTAGTCTATATATTACTGAAGTTACTGTGATTGGTTGGTATGATTTGATACTGTCTTTATCTCCCTTGCCCTTATATAATAATCTCATCCTACTCAATTTCCAGTCACTGGGTACCTCCCCTCCCATAAGTATCTGGTCAATCACCTGCCTTAGTTGCAATTTGCCTGTTTTGCCTAGAACTTTTATCAGTCTCATTGGTATGCCGTCTGGACCTGTCGCAGTTCCAGCCGGAGCCTTTCCTTCTATTCCTTTCCCTTCCCCAGTGGTCATTTCCTCTTCTTCACTATGATCCACCTCTTGTGTTGTGGAGACGCTACCATTCCCTATGGCCTGATCTGATTCTAACTCCGAAAATGCTGCTCCGATTGTATGTCTAATGTATTCCCTTGCTTTTCCCCCTCTACCTTTGTCCCTTCCTGTGTGGTTAGTGTCTGCTGGTACCCCTCGGTCTTTTTTCCCTGCGCACTAATGTGTTCCCAGAACCTTTTTGCCGTATTCCTATCCTTCTGGTTTATCTCTATCATCCACTGGACCCCTGCCCTCCCGATTTTGGCCTGTATTAATGCTGTTGCTTCCCGCTTTCCTGAAAGTCCTCCCATTTCGATACTGCTTCAGCTGGTGTGGCCCCCTTTTTCTTTGCCCCTCTGTGTTCTCTAGATGGTGCTTGGCGTTTCGATATTGCTGCCATAACCTCCTTATCCCACCAGTTTTTGAGCTTGCATTTTAGTTTTCTTCCTCCTTGTTTGATTTAATATTTCTCTGACTCTCTTTTGAAAACCCTAACTAAGTCTTCATATGTCCATTCTCTTTCTGGTTGCTTGGATGCTATGTTTTCGACTCGCTTAGATGCCTCCTGTAATTGTTTATAATTTAAGTTATTGCTACCCTCTTGTTTTTGATTTTGCTTTTCTGATTTTACTGTGCCAAAACTGATCTTGATTCTCTTATGGTCACTCCCTACACTTTTTGCGCCTTCCTCATCTATTTCCATACCTCCTAATCTGTTGTATAGCTTCTGCGACATTAAACAGTAGTCAATAGTTGAGTGTGAGTTCTTTGTCTCCCACATTATTTTTCTATCACATTTTACCTGAGCATTAACCAATAGCAGATCAAGAACTCCTCTAACATCCTCCCTGTTGTATCCATATGTCCATCAAAGTTTTCCAAATGTGCATTGATGTCCTCTAAAATAATTATTTCCCTGTTATTGCAGATTTCCTTAACGTCTCCTGATATGCATGTTAAGGGTTCTGGGTTTTTCTCCCCTGCATCACTCCCTCTTTTTTAGATACTCAAAACCCAGGGTTGTGTCTAAACCCCCAATATTGCCTTTGACCCATATGTGTTCCCTGCAGCCCTCTCGCTCCGTTTCCCATTCCTGACCCTTCACTAACCACCCCTAATTCCCATCTCTTGCGTTCCTCATTGGCCCGGTTGCATCCCATCCAATGACATCCCGGTATGTATGGTGGTTGTTCCATATCCCTCAGATGTGTTTCTGCTAATTCATACACTACAAAGTTTTCGCTTTCTGATTTCTCCTCAATCTCCTCCCACTTCATTCTGTTCCTGCCCCCCTGCATGTTTATGGACCCTATGTTAAGCTGTTTCTTTTTCCTAGTCCTGTGAGGCTTCCTCTCACCCTCCCAAACCCTCCCCCCTGGATCTACATGTTGGCCCTCATTTACACCGGCGCTCTCAGGGCTCCGGGACCCCCCCCCCCCCCCCCCCCCCCAAAAATGTACGATATGACGTCCGATTCTATCGCCTACCATGCTCCCAGTGGTTCCACTGTAGTGGATGCCCCATGTAAAAGGGTCGGAGCGAGCCTCGTACGCCACCCTGTTTACTTCCATTACACTGTACTCAAATCGTCGGCTCATCCCCCTTATTCCCCAGTTAGCTTCCACCACCCGCTTCTCTATCTGCAAAGACTGTCCCCAGACCTCTGTGATGGTGCATATTTGCACATGCACCGTCTCAGAGACCTCCCTCAGCTTACGTAACCCAAACTCTATCTGCCTCGCAAGGTTCTGGCTCCGTCCCTTTAACACATCAGTTAGTCCTGTGTGTACTACCACTAGGTTCTCTCCCTCCCTGTTTTCCCTCACCTCCTCCTTCGCTTTGGCCATAGCGTCTACCATGCACCTTCCTGACTGGGCCACTACATTTACTCTCCCATCCCCTTTCACCCTGTCCAGCAGCCCCTTCTTAACCCTTGTTATGTTTGAGTCTCCTACCACCAGCACCCTCTTAACCCCCGACTTCCTGTCTTCATCCCCTCCAGTTATCTGTGCTTTCTCTGCCTCAACTTCTGCTGCCTTCCTTGAAGTTTGCTGTACTGCAGCACTATAGAGCTGTGCAGGCTCCTTTCCTACACTGTCAACCACCTCGTCACTATTATACTGGCCCCCTGAATCTGCCACCTCCTTCTTTTCCTCATTAAGCACTCCTACCATCTCCTCAGACTCACAATTCCGCCTTCCACTCTTCACCCTGTCTAAGCTCCTCCACCTGTCGCTGAAGCTCAGCTCGCTGTTCCCGTTGTCGTCTCAGCTCTCCCGCCACACTTTCCACCTTGCTTGCCCATTCCCTGGTCATCTCCTTCACATCCACTTCGGCCCCCTTAATCAAATCTCCGACCTGCACCTTGAGCTGAACCCGCTTCTCCCACTCTACCCGTATCCCCCGCTTCAACTCCTGAACCGCATCCTCACATTCCCTTCCTATTCTCCTAAAACCAAGTTCTATCTTCTCGCAGCTCCAGCAGGTAATGTTGCTCTCCTCGGCTTCTGCTACAGTTTTGAACTCTGTCTCCATCATGCAGCACCAACGGCCACACTCTGCATCGGGTCCTTCTTTTACTTTAGGCTGCACATTCTTCTTCCGTCGCATATTCACCATTGTCTACCGACACACAGCGCGACCCCACCACAAATATCCCACCAAAACTCAAACCAAGGAAGCCTGGGTACACCTCTGCCCACACAACCAACTAGCCTGCCAATAGCTTCAAACATGCACGTGGTTCGATCTCGTGACCCTATTTAAAAAGCCTGTTTTAACCCAACTGCCCTATTGCTACTTTAAAGACTGCTTTCTACTACCCCATAAACACACCAGTAGCATAAGAGAAAAAGTGCCTTACAGCAAGGCGCTAAACCCGGAGGATCAACACCAATGGGGTGTGCCTCTTGCCTTTAGCGCGCAACACCACCAATGAAGAAGATCCAACAAGCAAGCCTATCCTATCGCTACTTTAAAAACTGCTTTCTTCTACCTTGTAAACACACGCAACTAAACTAAATATACCAAAAATCACTTAGCTTTGCAGGAACTCCGGAAAACGCGTCCTCTTTGTCAACTGACGAGGAGCGCACATCGACGTTGCGCCGTGGCCAGATTTCCTCCTTAGTGAGCATAAGTGTCCTATCAGTGTCCCTTTAAAGGAGGGGAGATTCGTCCAAAATCTGATACACATATTTGCCTCAGAATTGGTTAGTCTCAATAATAGACACACCCGAGCTAGTAACCAAAATTACGAGGCACAATATATTTTTTTTTTCACAAAGTTATTGAACTTTAATGCTTGGTCTGAGAGGCAAAGAGGCTCTGCTGGCAACAGTTAAGCTCGTGCCCAAAAAACAAACAAAAACATGTAAAATACAGTTTTTTTTCTTTATACTGCCCGCTCGACTCGCAAGTTGTACGACGTGTGCCGTCACTGCTGTGTAGGTCAGGAAAATTTGAATGTTGGTTTTGGCATAACCTTCATTTCCTTTTTTCTTTTCAGTAGCTATTTTGCATTTAGAGGTAATAAATAGCGTGCCGGGCAGGCGCGTAGCCAGGTTTTTGATTCGGGAGGGGGGGGAGGGGGGCTTGGCTCGCCCATGACAAAAATGCTGAATGAGCAGGATGGGGGAGTGGAGGCCCCTGCAAAATAGAAGAGTTCGGGGGGGGGGGGCAGGTTCCATGGGTCCCTCCCTTAGCTACGTGCTTGGTGTGCCGGAAAGAGTTAAACTTGGGTACTCCAAAAGTTTGTTGAATTTGGGTAGCTCAGAAAATCGCCGGCTCCCCTTTAAAAGGCTGTCCCGTCGTGCTTGCACAGGTGGACGAGATCGAGGACCGAGCGCAGCAGTACCTGGCTGCCATCCAGAGGAGGTGTCCAGACCAGGTGCCGGATGCCCAGAAGCAGGACCTCAAGAAGCGCAAGCTGCTCTCTGAAGTGTGAGCAGTCGCCCCTTTGAGGCGTGCAACGCTTGCCACAGCAAACCATGCCGGGACCGCTTTGATTCGAACGTTGTCGCAAACAATGTTACGTTATCTGGTTGCGCATCCCAGACAAGTGAAAAAACTTGCTTTGTCTGCATCATACGGATAACTCGGGTATACGCAGAACGTATTTCTGTAGCATTCTTCAAAACTCGTAGTGGACAGTGCATTTTTTTTTTTTTTTTTTAATTTGGCTGTAGCATGTTACTTCATTCCAAACCCTGTCCTTTTGATGGGATGGTGGACACGTCTTGTTTCATCTCATGAACAAACACAGAGAGGGAGGGGGAGAAACTAGACTGGGGCCGGGGACGTCAGAGGTCGGAGCTCTGTCAGTTATTGTCCAGAAGGTATTTAATTCTAACTACTGATTTATTCATGGTCAACAATATTCCTAATATTTTCACCATGAACTAATTATCCACCACCAAGTATGTCAACAAAATATCGTAACAAATTTAATTTTCTTTTGAGAAAATTATTTTTGAAGTTGACAGATACACCTCCGATTCACTGGCAGCCGCTCCACGGGCAACAACAAGTGGGGGGCGCTTGTGATGTCAAATGTATCCGAGAGCAGACGCTCCCTCCTCCACAACGTTGTGCGTTGTAGCGACAGTGAGCGTCTGTTCTCTTGCGGATTGTGTCTGGTTTGGGCTATTTGTGGCATGCAGTGGTTTGGGGGGGGGGAATCCGCGATGTGCCGTGGGGTGCAATAACACCACGAAGAAATGCAGCAGATTGACATCTTACCGGTTTCCAACCAGGAAGTTTCTGCAACGAAGGTGGATCTAGCAGTATGACCGTCCTAGCAAACAAAAGCCCTCCGTACAATTCTGCTTCCGAAGCGGCGTTGCGGCCCACATGTCGGCAAACCTCGAATACAGCCGCCACAGGTGGTCCCCTCGAAGGCAGGGCCGTGCTTTAATAAGAAGCAATACCACAGACAAATGTTGCACCCCTCCTCCGCCTGGTGGCATCAGCTCATTTTCAATTTCTGTGCCTGCGCAAAGCGGGCGAACTTCAGTCGAACTTTGCGTTAAAAATAAGGGAAGTTCAAACCCAATTGAACTAGAACTTCTGCGAGTTTGCGACATCCCTAACCGCAGCGGTTACACCCATCTCGGAATGAAATACTCAAACGAAAGAAACACGCAAAAAGAATGATGTGGTTGATGCAACTGCATCATCTGTGTTGCTCTG